GATCATGGGGGGATCATGGTGGGGATCATGGAAGAGATCATGGAGGGGATCATGGAGGGATCATGGAGGGATCATGGTGAGGATCATAGGGGGATCATGGAGGGCATCATGGAGGGGATCATGGAGGGATCATGGAGGGATCATGGGAGGATCATGGAGGGGATCATGGAGGGATCATGGAGGGATCATGGGAGGATCATGGTGGGGATCATGGGGCTTGCACCAACCCACCTGAAATTGAGGTCTTTGACGGAGAACTTGGTCTCGATGATGCCCGTGGTCTTCACCCTGGACCTCAGCACGTCCTGCTCATTGGGCAGGTAGTCAGGGGCCGTGATCCTGTCCAGTTGGTTCAGGTAACTGGAGGGGGCACAGATGGGGACGTGAGGCACCGCTGCCACCCCCACGTCCCCATGTCCCGTTCCCCCCAGTGCCCTGTCCCCACTCACTACGCGGCCGAGTCATTGAGCTGGTACTCGGCGGCGCGGTCGAAGCAAGCCTGGACCCCCCCATCCTTCCAGAGCTTCTTGATGCAGTCCACGAGCTCGGGGGGCATCGTGCCCTCCTCGATGGAGTCAGCCAGGTTGAAGAGCTGCCGCCCATCGTCCTGCAAGAGGGACCATTGCCATTGCCACCATCCCCATTGCATCGCCATCATCCCCATTGCCATTGCCACCATCCCCATTGCCATTGCCACCATCCCCATTGCCATTGCCACTATTGCCATTGCCACCATCTCCATTGCCATCATCCTCATTGCCACCATCCCCATTGCCACCATTGCCATCATCCCCATTGCCATTGCCACCATTGCCATTGCCACAATCTCCATTGACACCATCCCCATAGACACCACTGCCATCTTCTCCATTGCCATTGCCACCATCCCCATTGCCGCCATCCCCATCATCCCCATTACCATTGCCACCATCCCCATTGCTGCCATCCCCATTGCCACCATAGCCATCATCCCCATTGCCATTGCCAGCATCGCCATTGCCACTATCCCCATTGCCACCATTGCCACAATTGCCATTGCCACCATTGCCACTGCCACCATCGCCACCATTGCCATTGCCACAATTGCCATTGCCACCATTGCCATTGCCACCATTGCCACAATCACCATCGCCACCATCCCCATTGTCACCATCCCCATTGCCACCATTGCCACAATTGCCATTGCCACCATCGCCACGAAACCCATCGCCACCACCCCCATCACCACCATCACCATTGCCATCATCACCATTGCCACCATCGCCACCATCCCCATTGCCACCATCCCTATTGCCACCATTGCCACCATCCCACCGGGGCTCCCTGCACCCAAACCCCACCATGGGGCTCCAGACCCCATCACCATGCAGGGGTGGGGGGACGGGGATGCTGGTGGCCCCCAACTCACTGCACGGGAGGACTCGGCGTAGTCGATGCCCAGCGTGGACATGGCGCGGATGATGGCCAGGATGGACTGCAGGATGTTGCCGTAGATGATGGCCTTGAACTCCATGCACTCCTCCGGTGTGTAACCATCCTGGTGGATGATCCTGAGGGATGGGGAGGGGACGGGATACAGTGGGAATCACCACCATGGGGATGGGTGACCCCCCATAGCCCAGGGGGGACCTGGGGCCGTACTCACTTCATCTGCTTCACAATGGTGCTCTTGCCCGATTCACCAGCCCCTGGAGAAGGGTAGAGGGACACCTTAGTGCTGGTCAGGGGGGGATGGACCCCAGGCCTGATGCCGCAGCGATGGGCACCAGGGCCTCTCTCCCATGTCCTGCATCTCCCAGTGCCACCATCCCCCTGCTCCCATTGCACCCAGTGCTGGACCACAGCCTGGGGACCCCCATGGGTGGTTGGGGACCCCCTGGACACCACCGGTCCCTGGTGTCCCACCTCCCGTGGTGGCCTCGGTGCCATAAGCAGCTTAGGACAGCACAGGAAGCTGCTTAGAATTAGGTGCTAATCGCCTTGACCTGCCCCCCCCCACTGCAGGATCAGGCCCCATCACCCATCCCTGTCACCCCACAGTACCCAGGTGGTGGGGATTGGGGTGCTGGTGGCAGGAGGTCCCCAAGAACCCCACCACCCCATCCAGGGGATGTGGGACTTGGTGTCCTGGTCCCATCCCTGCATTGTCCCCTTTGTCCCTGCCACCAGGTTGCCACCAGGAGCTGATGCCACAACCATGCAGCTCCTTGGGGGACAGAGGAGCCATTGGGATGAGGAAGGAGGTGATGGGATGGGGGTGTTCCTCCCCTTCCCCATCCATCAAGGGGGGGTCCCCAGTTAGGGGGGGACCTCTCCTGCATCCCCCTTGCAGACCCTTACCCAACAGCAGCAGCTTGACCGTCTTGGCCTCCTTATCCGCATCCTCTTGGAGCTTCTTCTCCAGCTCCTTGGACCTCTTGGCCATCTCCTTGTCCTCGGCGCTGGCCCCGCTCCCCATGGCCTCGTCTTCCACCACCTCCTCCTCCTCCTCCTCCTCCTCCTCCTCTAACGCCTCGAGCTCCTCGAGGTCCCCAGGCTTTTCCAGCTCTCCTTTGGGAACGGGGATGGGCGATGGACGAGGAAAAGAGGAGCCCCGAGAGGCCGATCCCTGGTGTTGGGGTACCCCCGAGCAGCGGCGTCCCCGGTGCGCTCTCCTCTAATTCCCCATGGATAACCTCATTTGTTTGGAGCCTGGGATTTGGGGACCTTTTATCTCCCCATGTGACCCAGGAAATCCACTTAGCCCAAGATGGCAAAGATTAGGGCTCAAGGGAGAAACCAATGGAGCATCTCGGGGAGGTGCCCATAGGGCTTTAGATAACGGGGGGGGGACATAGGTACTGAGACCCCCCCATCGCAATGGGGACACCCTGGGGTTGGAGGACCCCCATGTCCATGGCTTGTGTGCCCCCATGGGGTGGTTGGCATCAGGGATGGGGTCACCTCCTGCTTGTGTCCCCGCACACCCCACAAGCTGGGGGGGGCGTGGGGGGTCCTTAGGGGTGAGAATGGGACATGGCTGGGAGCTGGGGGGTCCCCTGGGTGATGGTGACAAGGGGGATATGGCACTTGGGGGTGTCTGGGGGGGGTGAGGTAGTTAATGGGGTAATGAGCACCCATGGGTGCCACCCATCACCCTCCCGCTGCCTAAGCTCTTTAATGGGATCCTGCTCAGCCTTCCTCCTCCTCCTCCTCCTCCTCCTCCCCCTAGGAGCTCAGTGCCCCCCTCCCCAGCCCTGCACCCATCCAACAGGGTCCCCCCCGCACCCCATTGTGTGTGTGTGTGTCCCCAATGTCCTACTGGGACTGGTTCGGGTCTCACCACAATGGGGACCCCCCCTCATTGGGATGTGGGAGCCCCACCAAAGGTGCCGCAGGTCCCCGGTGTTGGGGTTCAGGGGTGCCCTAAATCACTGCACCCCAATGGGGGCTCGGTGTCCCCTCATTGGTGTCCTCTGTGTGTGCCCCCCCCATGGAGGCACTGGGACACCCTGTCCCTGCCGTCCCTTTGATGGGACACAAAGCCCCCTCTAATGACCCCGGCGCTAATGAAGGCTCCAATTAACAAACCAGGCCCCGCTCCCAGTGTTGGGGGGGGCACGGGGGGGGCCATGGCTTTGTCCAGAGCCCAGAGCTGTGACCGTGACCCCCCCCCCGGCCTGGCACAGGGGGGGCATCACCTCCCTTGCCCCCTTTGGGCACAGGGGGGAACACAGGGGGGGGGGCGTTCCTGCTGCTCCTGGCACCCCCCAGCACCCCCCCGGCACTGGGAGCCACCAGCACAGGTAGGGACAGCGTAATGGGGGGGTGCAATGTGTTAAGGGGGGGGCAATGTGTGACAGGGGGGCAATGTGTGATGGGGGGTGCAATGTGTGATGGGGGGTGCAATGTGTGATGGGGTGAATGTCAGGGCAATGTGTGATGGGGGTGCAATGTGTGATGGGGGGCAATGTGTGATGGGGGTGCAATGTGTGACAGGGGGGCAATGTGTGATGGGGGGGTGCAATGTCTGATGGGGGCAATGTGTGATGGGGGGGCAATGTGTGATGGGGGTGCAATGTCTGATGGGGGGGCAATGTGTGATGGGGGGCAATGTCTGATGGGGGGTGCAATGTGTGATGGGGGGCAATGTCTGATGGGGGGGCAATGTGTGATGGGGGGGCAATGCGTGATGGGGGGCAATGTCTGATGGGGGGGCAATGTCTGATGGGGGTGCAATGTCTGATGGGGGGGCAATGCGTGATGGGGGTGCAATGTGTGATGGGGGGGCAATGTGTGATGGGGGGGTGCAATGTCTGATGGGGGGGGCTGGAGGAGCGCTCGGGGGCGTCTGATGGGGGGTTCAATACCTAATGGGGGGTGCAAATTCTGATGGGAGTGTCCAATGTCTAATGGGGGTGGTCCAATGTCTCATGGAGGGGGTGCAATGTCTAATGGCGAGGATGCAGTTTTTAATGGGGGGGGTTCAATATCTAATGGGGGTTGCAATGTCTGATGGGGGGGTACAATACCTAATGGGGGGTTCAGTATCTAATGGGGGGGGGCAATATCTGATGGGGGTGTCTGTGCTTGGGCTGCGGACGTTGACTCCCTCCCGGGGGCTCTGGTCCCTGCCGGGGGGGGGGGGTGCATCGCGGGGGGGGGGGGTGCCAACACACGATGCCCACCCGGGGGGGGGTGCACACACGGACACAGACCCCATTGTTGGCGGTGCCGCTGGCACTCGAGGAATGGGGCTGGGGGGGGCGACACCATCTGTGTGTGTGTGCGGGGGGGGGTTCAGTGCCTGCCCCCCCCCCCAGCGGGCGGCACAAACTGGAGCCTCCTTCCTCCTCCTCCTCCTCCTCCTCCCGCTCCCGCCGCGCCACATCCTCCTCCCGCCCCATCCTCTTCCTCATCCCCGCTTCCGGCCGCGCTCCGCCGTGGGGGGACTTTGGTCCAGCGCCGGCGCCGCGCATCAATCATCAACCAGCGCCTCCGGGCCCCCCCCGGGCTCCACCATGGCCTCGGCCAAGTGCCCCTTCAAGAAACGGGGCAGCCTCCAGACCCCCAACCCCGCAGGTGAGACCCGCAGCCACGCACCCAACCCCATCGCCACCGCAATGATGGGGCTATGGGGGGCGGTGGGGGGGGGTGACCATCACCGCGGTGTCTGGGCTGCTGCGCTGATGGGTGCAGTGGGGTGGAGGTGTCGCCCCCCCCCCCCAATGATGGGGCTATGGGGTGGGGGCTATGGGGGGGGGTGACCATCACCGCGGTGTCTGGGCTGCTGCAGTGGGATGGAGGTGTTGTGTCCCGTCCCCCCCCCCCAAGCGGTGGCAATGGGGGTGATGGGGGGGGGGGGGGCTCTGCGGAGCAGCGGTGGCGCAGCGGGTGCTGTGTGCTTGGGGGGGGGGGGAGAGGAAGAGGAGGGACCCTGGGGGGGGGGGGATGTCGATAGGGGTGGTTTGGGGGGGCAGCGCCATGTGGCATCATATGGATGGTTGTGCTTGGGAGGGGTCTGGTGGCACCGGATGGTGGCACTGGGTGATGGTGGCAGGAGTTGGTGATGGCACCGGGTTATGGTGGTGCTGAGTGATGGTGGCACTGGTTGCTGATGGTACAGGGGGGGTGGTGGCACCGGATGGTGGCACTGGGTGATGGTGGTACCAGTTGATGTTGGCCCAGGGTTTTGGTGACACTAAGCAATGGTGGCACCAGTTGATGATGGCACTGGGTGATGGTGGCACCAGGGGGTGGTAGCACCAATTGATGATAGCACAGGGTGATGGTGGCACTGAGTGATGATGGTACAGTGTGGTGGTGGCACCGTGTTATGGTGACACTGAGCGATGATGGCACCAGTTGATGATAGCACAGGGTGATGGTGGCACCAGTTGATGATAGCACAGGGTGATGGTGGCACTGGGTGCTGGTGGCACCAGGGTGCTGGTTGCACTGGGCTCCAGTGGCACAGAGTGATGGTGGCATGGGGTAGGTGAGGTGGCACCCATTCCAGGATCGCCTCCCATCCCTCCCAGTTTGGGGGTGCCCTCCCCACGGTGGTGCTTTTCCCGCTGGATTTGGGGGGGGGGGCAGAAGGATGAATGGATGGGGGGGGATGGAGCAGCCTTGAGAGAAGGGGGTTGTGTGTGATGGGGGGACCCCAACATCCTTCCCCCCCCATGCTGGGGGTGTCCTGACCCCATCCTAGCACCGGTGTGGGGATGGGGGGGCGCTGGTGAGCCCCTTCCTGCCCGCTCAGGCTGCCCCATCGCAGAGCTGCGGGCTGGGCCCGGCTCCCGACCCCTGCAGTCAGCGCGGTCCCTGCCGGGGCCTTCCCACTGCCTGAAGCACTTCCCGGTGGATCTGCGCACATCCATGGATGGGAAATGCAAGGAGATCGCAGAGGTGGGTCCGGGCCGGAGCACGGCGCGTCCGGGGGGGGGGGGGCTCCTTCTGCCTTCCTCCTCCTCCTCTTCTCTTCTCTTCTCTTCTCTTCTCTTCTCTTCTCTTCTCTTCTCTTCTCTTCTCTTCTCTTCTCTTCTCTTCTCTTCTCTTCTCTTCTCTTCTCTTCTCTTCTCTTCTCTTCTCTTCTCTCTTTCCTCTCCTTCTCTTTTCCCTTCCCTTTTCCCTTCTCTCTTTCTCTCCTCTCCTCTCCTCTCCTCTCCTCTCCTCTCCTCTCCTCTCCTCTCCTCTCCTCTCCTCTCCTCTCCTCTCCTCTCCTCTCCTCTCCTCTCCTCTCCTCTCCTCTCCTCTCCTCTCCTCTCCTCTCCTTCTCTTTTCCCTTCCCTTTTCCCTTCTGTCTTCCTCTCTTCTCTCTTTCCTCTCCTCTCCTTCCCTTTTCCCTTCCCTTTTCCCTTCCCTTTTCCCTTCTCTTTTCTCTCCTCTTTTACCCTTCCCTTTCCCCTTCCCTTCCCCTTCCCTTTCCCCTTCCCTTTCCCCTTCCCTTTCCCCTTCCCTTTCCCCTTCCCTTTTCCCTTCCCTTTCCCCTTCCCCTTCCCTTTCCTTCCCTCCATCCCTCCCTCCTTCCCTCCCTCCCCACAGGAGCTCTTCTGTCGCTCCCTGGCTGACAGCGAGATGCGTTCGGCTCCCTACGAGTTCCCTGAGGAGAGCCCCATCGAGCAGCTGGAGGAGCGGCGCCAGCGCCTGGAGCGCCAGATCAGCCAGGACGTCAAGTGAGACCCGAGGGGGGGGTCCCCGCTCTCATCCCCCCTCCATGGGCTGGGGGACAGGCCCCTCGTGTCCTCCCGCCGTGCCTGTCGCGCTGCCTGTCCCCTTCTCCGTGTGGCTCTGATGCTTTCTGTGTGGTTGCTGTTTATGGTGGTGGTTGATGGGGGGGGTTTGGGGGTGTCTCTCGTCCCCGTTGTCCCCACCGCATCCTCTTGTCCCCAGGCTTGAGCCCGACATTTTGCTCAGAGCCAAACAGGACTTCCTGAAAGTTGACAGTGCCGCGGACTTGCAGTGAGTGCCCGGGGTCCCCATGGCCCCAACACGCACGTGGCCACCGCTTCCCCCCTGGTCCAGGCCACTCTCATGGCACTGAACCCTTCAGTGCACCCAAAGCAGGGCAAAGGGGAGGGGGTTGAAGGGTCCCTGGGGTTGGTCCCAGCCCCGCTGCTGGTGCAGGATGTCCCCATCCCTCCTGTCTCCGCTTGGGAGTTGTCTCTGTTGTGAGTTATTGCGTTCTCTGTCCTCCCCCTCCAACTCTTTGTTGTGCTCATGTGGGCCCAAGGGATGTGTTTTGGGATGGGGGGGTCAATGCCATCATCAGTGGCACCCAACTGCCCCACAGTTGGTGGTGGCATCACTTAGGGACAGCATCACCCTCCCGGATGCGGACCTGGGGTTGGTGCTCCATGGGGATGCCGGGATGCGGTCAGACCGTGCCAACCCCATCCCTGCCCACAGGCTCTTCAAGGAGCAGAGCGAGGACCTGGAGGACCACGTCCCCAAGGAGCGGGAGGCGCTGCTGGAGCGCGAGTTCCAGCGGGTCACCATCTCCGGGGAGGAGAAATGTGGGGTGAGTGAGACACCCCCAAACCCCCAAACCCAACCAGGGCCTGGGGAAGGGCTTCAAGGCACCAACAGCATCATGGGGTTGGGGTTCTGCTCCTCAGGTGCCCTTCACGGACCTTCTGGATGCAGCCAAGAGCGTGGTGAAGGCGCTGTTCCTAAGGGAGAAGTACATGGGGCTGTCCCTGCAGAGCTTCTGCAAGACCACGGCCCGGTACCTGCAGGAGCTCTCTGAGAAACCCCTGGAGACCAGAGGCTACGAGGAGGTGCCTGAGACCCCCGTGGCTGCTGGTGAGTGTGGGATGGGGGGGGCCTCATGGTGGGATGGGTGCTGGGGGGGGCTTCATGGTGGGATGGGTGCTGGAGGGGGCTTCATGGTGGGATGGGTGCTGGAGGGGGCTTCATGGTGGGATGGGTGCTGGAGGGGGCTTCACGGTGGGATGGGTGCTGGAGGGGGCTTCATGGTGGGATTGGGATGTTGGGGGAGTCTGCACAATGGGATGGGGATGCTGGAGGGGTCTTCATACAAGGATGGGGATGCTGAAGGGGCTTTGGTGAATCCATCCCATCACCCGTGTCTGGTTGGGTGTCTCTTGGCTGCAGATGCCCCCGTGCACCCCCCGTTCGCAGAGCAGCACCCTTATGAGATGTGGGACCCCAAGACCATGCCGGCTGACCTGGGCTTCGGGCTGAAGATGGTGGATGGGGTGGTGCACGTCTACACCAAGCAGGACCTCACCGACAAGTGAGTGTCTGGCATGGAGCATGCGCACACTGGTGGGATGAGCTCTGTTGGGTGACCCTGGACCATGTCCCCACCTCTGTCCCCTCCAGGAGCACGGAGCTGGACCTGCCATACCCAGACCTGCAGGAGTTCATCGCTGACATGAACTTCCTCATGGCTTTGATCATCAATGGGCCCATGTAAGGAGAAGGGTCCCACTATGGAGGTGTCCTGGGGGGTCCCTCTATGGAGGTGTCCTGGGGGGTTCCCTCTATGGAGGTGTCCTGGGGGGTCCCACCATGGAGGTGTCCTGGGGGTTCCGTCTATGGAGGTGTCCTGGGGGTCCCACTATGGAGGTGTCCTGGGGGGGGTCCCACCATGGAGGTGTCCTGGGGGGTTCCCACTATGGAGGTGTCCTGGGGGTTCCCTCTATGGAGATGTCCTGGGGGGTCCCACCATGGAGGTGTCCTGGGGGTTCCGTCTATGGAGGTGTCCTGGGGGTCCCACTATGGAGGTGTCCTGGGGGTTCCCTCTATGGAGGTGTCCTGGGGGGGGTCCCATTATGGAGGTGTCCTGGGGGGGTCCCACCATAGGGGTGCCTTGGGGAGGGGCAGAGCCTCGGGGACAGCACCAGAGGACATGGTGGTGGCTATGACTCACGGTCCTGGAGCAGCTCCCATGCCCGTGCCTCCATCCATGCACATGGAGAGGGGGGTCCCAGAATCCAGAGCCGTATCCTGGTGGGCACCAGCCTTTTGGGGCTGGATGTTCTCCTCTGACACCCCCATCCCCACCTCGGGCAGCAAATCCTTCTGCTACCGCCGGCTGCAGTACCTGAGCTCCAAGTTCCAGATGCACGTCCTGCTCAACGAGATGAAGGAGCTGGCGGCCCAGAAGAAGGTGCCCCACCGGGACTTCTACAACATCCGCAAGGTACCCGCTGGCTCCTGGCCTCCTCCTGTGACCAAGGGGCACTCGGATGCTCTTGGGGCTCAGCACCGCCTCTGCCCGCCCAGGTGGACACCCACATCCACGCCTCGTCCTGCATGAACCAGAAGCACCTCCTGCGCTTCATCAAGCGGGCCATGAAGAAGCACCTGGATGAGATCGTCCACGTGGAGAAGGGCAAGGAGCAGACGCTCAAGGAGGTCTTCGAGACGATGAACCTCACCGCCTATGACCTCAGTGTGGACACGCTGGATGTGCACGCGGTACGGGGCATCCTGGCAATGAGCAGAGCCTCCAGCCCATCTCCTGCAGATGGGTGATGCTGAGGGCTCTGCGCTGGGATATTGTGGCTTTGGGGTCTCATATCCATGTCCTCCTGCCAGGACCGCAACACCTTCCACCGCTTCGACAAGTTCAACGCCAAGTACAACCCCATCGGCGAGTCCATCCTGCGGGAGATCTTCATCAAGACGGACAACCGCGTCTCGGGGAAGTACTTTGCCCACATCATCAAGGTGAGGGACCCTCTGCACATCCCTGGGCGCCCCGTGGTTGGCCAAGGGGTGAGCGTTGTTCCCTGGCAGGAGGTGATGTCGGACCTGGAGGAGAGCAAGTACCAGAACGCGGAGCTGCGGCTCTCCATCTACGGCCGCTCCCGGGACGAGTGGGACAAGCTGGCCCGTTGGGCCGTCAACCACCGCGTCCACTCCAACAACGTCCGCTGGCTCGTGCAGGTCCCCCGGCTCTTGTGAGTACCAGGAGATGCCTTCAAGCGGGGCCCTGACCCCTCTATGGCTGGGGTGGGTTTGGGATGGGATGCTCTAAGTAGAGTCCGTGCCCCTGCAGTGATGTCTACCGCACCAAGAAGCAGTTGGCCAACTTCCAGGAGATGCTGGAGAACATCTTCCTGCCCCTCTATGAGGCCACCATCCACCCGGCCCAGCACCCGGAGCTGCACCTCTTCCTGGAGCACGTGAGCACCGTGTCCTGCTTCCAGGGGCAGGATGGGGGCCACCAGTGACACCCATAACGGACCTTGCTTGAGGGCTCTATTGAAGGATCCACCATCCCACCTTGGGTTGTCCCTTCTGCAGGTGGACGGCTTCGACAGCGTGGATGATGAATCCAAACCAGAGCATCACATTTTCAACCTGGACAGCCCCTTGCCGGGCAACTGGGTGGAGGAGGACAACCCACCCTACTCCTACTACCTGTACTACATGTACGCCAACATGACGGTGCTCAACCACCTCCGACGGTAGGGTCACCTCCAGCAGCTCTGCCCGGCATGGGGTGGTCTTGGGGGGTGTCAGATGTTGATGGTGAACCCCACATTGCAGGAAGAGAGGCTTCCACACCTTCGTCCTGCGCCCGCACTGCGGTGAGGCCGGGCCCATCCATCACCTTGTGTCGGGCTTCATGGTCTCGGAGAACATCTCCCATGGGTTGCTGCTCCGCAAGGTGGGCAGGGATGGGGTGCTATGGGTTCAGGGGGGGGGGACACAGCAGGGTGTGTGTCTGTGACCTCCCCTCACCCAGCTCTTCCCCCCCAGGCCCCCGTCCTGCAGTACCTCTACTACCTGGCGCAGATCGGCATCGCCATGTCCCCGCTCAGCAACAACAGCCTCTTCCTCAGCTACCACCGCAACCCCCTGCCCGAGTACCTCTCGCGGGGGCTCATGGTGTCCCTGTCCACCGATGACCCCCTCCAGTTCCACTTCACCAAGGTGAGGGGGTCAATGGGAGGGTCGCAGGGTACCAACCCCCCCATCCCAAAACCAGCGGCAGGGTGGCCACCAACCAAGCCATGGTGATGGGGCAGGGTTGGGGGTGGCCTTGGCAGTGCTGGGGTAAAGGTTGGACTTGGTAAAGGTCTTTTCCAACCCCTATGGTTCAAACCCAACGAGCTCCAGAGGATGCTGATGGTCCCAGGGAGGGTGGGAGACACTGGGGACCCCCGTGTTCTTTACGGGGCACCCATGAGTGGGTGCTGATGCTGTGTCCCCCCCATAGGAGCCGCTGATGGAGGAGTACAGCATCGCCACCCAGGTCTGGAAGCTCAGCTCCTGCGACATGTGCGAGCTGGCCCGCAACAGCGTCCTCATGAGTGGCTTCTCCCATAAGGTACCCCCACCACCACCACCACCATGGCCCCCCAGCACCCATGGGTGCGAGAGATGCGGGAGCTCCCCCTTGCTCTTGTGCCCAGGTGAAGAGCTACTGGTTGGGTCCCCATTACCTAAAGGAGGGTCCCGAAGGCAACGACATCCGCCGGACCAACGTTCCTGACATCCGCGTGAGCTACCGCTTCGAGACGCTGTGCCAGGAGCTGACCCTCATCACGCAGGCGGTGCAGAGCGAGGAGCTGGAGACCATCCAGGAGGAGGATGCTCTCACCATCACCTCCACCCTCAGCACCCAGTGACCCCCTTCCATCACCCACATCCCTCTTTTCCAGGGCTTCGCCGCCGTCCTCCTACCTCCCGCCCTTGGGAAGGGGATGGGGACAGTCCCCATCGCCCTGTGATGCCCTCAAAGGGGCTTTGGTGGGGTTCTCTCCGTTCCTGGTGGGGTTTTTACCTGGTGTCTCCTCATTGTGTTGGTCCCTGCTGTTGGGGGCATAGGGATGATGTGACCGGAGGTGCCGTGGGGGTCTGGCTTCACCTCTTGGATGCAGTGGGGGCATGGGGACATTGTGGGGGGGACCCAGCCCAGCAGCAGGTCCTATTGCCTGCTGCTTTTTAATTGCCTGTCCCTCTCCGTCCATTTCTCACCCCATGGGGACATGGGGACGAGGCAGCAGCACCCCAAGGACCCAGACCTGGGCTCTGCGCAGCCACAGGGTACCCGGTGGAGGATGCTCCATCCTCCTCCTCAGGGAGGAAGCAGAGGGCTTGGGGTGGCTCCGTCCCTGCTCCAGGAGCTGGTTGTGGCCCGGATCGGGCTGGAAGAGGCTTCTCCTTCCTTGTGTGACATTGTCCCATCCCTGTGTCCCTCTATCCCGGTCCTGTCCCCACCCGTGGAGCCGGTGGCTGATGGCTCCTTTGGGAATACATGGTGGGAATGATGGAATAACCGTTCACACCCAAGAAAAGCCGTTCCGAAAGCCCCGTCCCAGCATGGAAATAAAGTATTTAAGTAAAACCCCTGGTTTTCATGGTGGTGGTGTTAGGGGGTGCCCCCCCGCCATGGATGGGATTTGGCCATTGGGGTCCCCATGGTGCCAATGGGTGATGCTGGTGGTGGAGGCAGCGCTGGCACTGGTGCAGTGCCTGGCAGGATGCCCCTGGCACCCAGCCTGCACCCAGTGATGCCAAAGGGGAGGGTTCCGGGGGCGGTGCTGAGGGGGGCAGATCCCTGCTCCCTGTTCCTGTTGTGGGCAGTGTCCCTGTGGAGCTGGGTCCATCATGGTGCTGACTCTGGGGTACTGGGATATCCGTGGGGTGAGTTGGGGGGGAATGAGGGGGGGGGTGATGGAGGTGGGTGCTAAAGGGGGGTGCTAAAGATGGGTTCCCCCCCCCCAGCTGGCCCAAGCCATCCGCCTGCTGCTGGAGTACACAGAGACCCCCTATGAGGAGCGGCAGTACCACCCGGGGCCGGGTAAGGGGGATGCGGGGGGGGGGTCCCCCATCTCCATCCACCCCCCTGGACCCCGGTTCAGGCTGGGCTTGACCCACCCTGATTTGGGCAGGGGGGCTCTGGACCCTCCTTTTTCCCACCCTGTCCTTTCCCCCCCCCCAAAACCTGGCAGAGGTTTTGGGGGTCACCTTTGTGCACCCCCCCCCCCCAAAACCACCACCCCGCACCTTGCACTCGGGTCAAAGTCCTCCAGGGGTGCCCGCATGGGATGGGTCACGTGGCTGCTCCGGAGCGCAATGGGCACCCCGCATCCATGAGGGTGCCATGAGAAGGGGGGGGTCCAGCACCCTTTGTGTGTGCCCCCCCCCAGCTCCTGACTTCAACACGAGCGAGTGGACCAACGAGAAGGAGAAACTGGGGCTCGACTTCCCCAACGTGGGTGATGGATGGGGAACGGGGGGGGGGAATGGAGCGGGGGGGGGGAGCACAAGGGGTGACCCCCCCGTTGTGACCCCCCTATCAGCTGCCCTACCTCATTGATGGGAAAGTGAAGCTGACACAGAGCAACGCCATCCTGCGCTACATCGCCCGCAAGCACAATATGTGTGAGTGCAGGGATGGGGATGGGGGGTCCCCTTTATAGGATGGGGGGGGTCTGATGTCTCCCACCCCCCAAATACACAGGTGGTGAGACAGAGGAGGAGATCCAGCGCGTGGACTTGATGGAGAACCACATCATGGATTTACGCTTGAGATTTGCACGGATGTGCTACAGCCCTGACTTTGTGGGTACCCCCATGCGATAAGGGGGGGCTCCATCCCTTTGGGGACCCCCTCAAAACCCTCTTCAACCCAACATAAACCACTCTCATCCCACTGGGGTCCTGTCACCCCCAATGTCTTGTCCCCATTGAGGCACAGGAGTGCTGGGGGGGGGCACGGTTTGGGGGTGCATCCCCCCCTGTATCTCTGTGCCCCTCATTAGGAGAAGCTGAAGCCTGGGTACCTGCAGGAGCTGCCGGGGAAGCTGCGGGAGCTGGCGCGGTTCCTGGGCTCCCGGCCCTGGTTTGCAGGGGACAAGGTCAGTGGGGGGGTGCTGGGGGGGTCCCTAAGGGGGGGGTCCGTGTCCCACATCAGTGTCCGTGCCCCCCCCGCTGTCCCCAGCTCACCTTTGTGGACTTCGTGGCCTACGATGTCCTGGACCAGCAGCGCCTGTTCGCACCCGACAGCCCCGAGCTCAGCGGGACCCTGCGCCAGTTCCTGGAGCGCTTCGAGGTGAGCGAACCCCGGGACCCTGCACCCCAATGTCCCTGTGCCCAGCACCCCGGGCACCGACCTGTCCCTGGCACCCCAATGTCCCTGTGCCCAGCACCCCGGGGCACCCACCTGTCCCTGGCACCCCAATGTCCCTGTGCCCGGCACCCCAATGTCCCTGTGCCCAGCACCCCGGGCACTGACCTGTCCCTGGCACCCCAATGTCCCTGTGCCCAGCACCCCGGGCACTGACCTGTCCCTGGCACCCCAATGTCCCTGTGCCCAGCATCCCAGGACACCGACCTGTCCCTCACACCTCAATGTCCCTGTGCCCAGCACCCCGGGCACCCACCTGTCCCTGGCACCCCAATGTCCCTGTGCCCAGCACCCCCGGGGCACCGACCTGTCCCTGGCACCCCAATGCCCCTGTGCCCAGCACCCCGGGCACTGACCTGTCCCTGGCACCCCAATGTCCCTGTGCCCAGCACCCCGGGCACTGACCTGTCCCTGGCACCCCAATGTCCCTGTGCCCAGCACCCCGGGCACTGACCTGTCCCTGGCACCCCAATGTCCCTGTGCCCAGCACCCCAGGGCACCGACCTGTCCCTGGCACCCCAATGTCCCTGTGCCCAGCACCCCAGGGCACCGACCTGTCCCTGGCACCCCAATGTCCCTGTGCCCAGCACCCCGGGCACTGACCTGTCCCTGGCACCCCAATGTCCCTGTGCCCAGCACCCTGGGCACCGACCTGTCCCTGGCACCCCAGTGTCCCTGTGCCCAGCACCCCGGGCACCCACCTGTCCCTTGCACCCCAATGTCCCTGTGCCCAGCACCCCAATGTCCCTGTGCCCAGCACCCCGGGGCACCCACCTGTCCCTGGCACCCCAATGCCCATCCCGGACACTGTGGTCCCCCTGTCTGAGTCCCTCGTGGTGCCATCCCTGGCACCCCAATGTCCCTGTCCTCAATACCCTGGGGTTCCCATTGCTGTCCCCAATACCCCAATGTCCCAATCCCCATCCCAAGCACGATGGTGTCCCCATCCCAAGCCTCATCCTTGAATCCTTGGTGTCCCCATCCCCAACACCCCAGTGTCATCATCCCTGTCCCCAGCACCCTGGTACCCCTGTGCCCATCCCTGACGTTCTGATGTCCCTGTGCCCATCACAGACACCCTGATGTCCACATTCCAAACCTCATCCTTGAATGCCCAGTGTCCCCATCCCCAGCACCCTGGTGTCCCCATCCCAATACCCCCATCCCCATTTGCCACCTCCCCAATATCCCTGTCCCCGTTTGTGACACCCCAGTGTCCCCATCTCTGTCCCCAGCACCCTGGTACCCCTGTTGCCACCTGTGACACACCAGTGTCCGCATCCCCGGTACCTCCATCCCCATCCCCATCCCCTCTCTCAGTGGCCCCATCCCCTACACCCTGGTGTCCCCATCCCTTTTTTTGTTGTTGTGTTTGTGGTGTTTTGTGTGGTTGTGTTGGTTTGTGTTGTGTGTGTGTTTGTTTTGTGTGTTGTGGTGTTTTTTTTTGTTGTTGTTTGTGTCACCCCAGTGTCCCCATCTCTGTCCCCAGCACCCTGGTACCCCTGTTGCCACCTGTGACACACCAGTGTCCGCATCCCCAGTACCTCTATCCCCATCCCCATCCCCTCTCTCAGTGGCCCCATTCCCTACACCCTGGTGTCCCCATCCCCACCCTTGCCCCTGCTCTGCCCCCCCAGGCACTGGAGAAGATCTCAGCATACCTGCGCTCGGGGCGCTACATGAAGACCCCCATCTTCTGGCGCACGGCGCATTGGTGCAACACCAAGGAGTGATGGGGGGGACCCCCTGAGCCCCCCGGAACCCACTTCCTGAAGAATAAATCGAGGGGGGATCTGCGCCTTGTCCCTTTTCCTGCTGCAATGGGGATGCACTGAGTGTTGGGAGATGCTGGGAAGGGGGGGGCTGTGGGGACCCCTCTATTTGGTGGTGATTCCTGGGGGGGCAACACGGGAGGGGGCACCCTGTTACCCCATTTAACCTCCCTTTGGATAAGGGGAACTATTGTGATGACTGGGGGCCCAAGGGGTGGAACGCATCATGGCAATCTCTTTGCCACCTAAATCTCCACCTGCGCACAGCATCTCTGGTACCCACACGAGGGCATCTGGTACCCACACCACGGTCACAGAGCGTGCATGGCCCGGCCCTGCTCCCGCAGCTGAGGAGGCAGGGCTCAAAGCTGGCCCTGAGCATCCCCTGCACACGGTGCGCTCTGCAATGGTGCCACCTTCATGGTGACCCAGCCTCTCTCTGCCATCTCAGCCTCCATCTGTGGCCCTGCACTCTGGCACCGGGGATAGCCCCAAGAGCCCAGGACATCTTCATGCCCTCCTATCACACAAGGGGATAGAACCCAGCCTGGTTTGGGTTGAAGGGACCTTAAAGCTCCTCCAGCTCCAACCCCTGCCACAGGCAGGGACCCCTTCCACTGGAGCAGCTTGCTCCAAGCCCCTGTGTCCAACCTGGCCTTGAGCACTGCCAGGGATGGAGCATTCACAACCTCCCTGGGCAACCCATTCCAGTGCCTCACTACCCTCACAGGAAAGAATTTCCTCCTTATATCCAATCTAAACTTCCCCTGTTTCAGTTTGAACCCATTACCCCTTGTCCTATCACTAGAGTCCCTAATGAAGAGTCCCTCCCCATCATCCCTATAGGCCCCCTTCAGACACTGGAAGCTGCTCTGAGGTCTCCCCGCAGCTTCTCTTCTCCAGGCTGAACAGCCCCAACTTTCTCAGCCTGTCTCC